ACAACAACAGTGTATCTTAATTAATTATATAGCCAATACATAAAGTAGCCAACAACAGTGTATCTAAACAATATTTCATACAAGAATTAACTGCGCTTACTAAACAATATTTTGCCACGAAATGAAAAGGAAACTGATGTTTGATTATGATTAGGACGCATAGTAGCGAAAGTAGTTTATCTTCCTCATTGCATTATGGGGGAGTGACTCCCACACGATAAGTCGAGTCGGTATCTGAAGAAATAAATTGTTGGAAAGGAAACAAATACTTTTATAATTTATTGTTAAATAGAATACAATCTTGATCTTTATATAAACTCTAGGACTTCTACTATTCTAAGAAAATAAATGGTATTAGTAAATATTATTATAACTCACTATCTCTTGGCCTTTCAATAACAATAAACTTTTAACCTTTCCACTAACTTATTAATAGAAACCCATCATTTATAACATTAAAGTTTATTCAATAAAACTCTCATGTAAACTTAAATGTTTCTTCCATCCATCATGCCTATCAATTTCTTGCCTCTGTCGAAAATTTCTTTCGATAATAGTTTTGTGAAAATATTTGTTGCTTGATCCTTGCTTGTTACATACCTCAATTCGACACTTTCTTCCTTCACATGTTCTCGAATGAAGTAGAAGTGTGCGTCAATGTGTTTGCTTCTATCATGGTTTACTGGATTCTTTATCAACTCGATTGTTGATTTGTTGTCCACTTGTATTACAATTGCGCCTTCCTGTTTTAGCTCCATTTTACTCATCAATCTTCTAAGCCATACTGCATGACAAGCGCACCAAGATGCTACCACATATTCAGCTTCACATGTCGAAAGTATTACTATTGGTTGCTTTTTAGAAAGCCAAGTAAATGCGGTGTTTCCCATGAAGAACACATATCCAGAAGTGCTTTTTCGATCGTCTATATCTCCGCACCAATCACTGTCAGAGTAACCAACTAACTTGTAGTCTTCTGTTCTTGAATAGAATATTCCAAATGACACTGTTTCTTGGATGTACCTTAAGATTCGTTTCAATGCCTTCCAATGAGAATGTACTGGCTCCTCCATAAATCGACTTACAATGCCGACACATAATGAAATGTCTGACCTTGTACATGTGAGATATCGAAGACTACCTACCAAGCTTCGATATTTGCTTACTTTCACACGTTCTCCTCCATCAAATTTCTACAATTTTGCACTTGGTTCTATTGGCGTCGCAGTTGGATATCAGCTTTTCATCTTGTATTTTTCCAAGATTTCTTTTACATATTTTTCTTGTGAAATAAAGATTCCAGTTTCTTCTTGTCGAACCTCCAGACCAAGAAAGAATCTCATCAGACCTAAGTCTGTCATTTCAAATTCACGTGTCATGGTGCTCTTGAATTCTTCTATCATCTGATCATCACTGCCTATAAAAATAAGGTCATCGACATAGAGAGCAACAAGTAATACATTACTTCCATTTTTCTTCATATAAAGGGCAGTTCATACAAACATTGCTCAAACCCATTCTCCTTGAAATATGTGTCGGTGCGTGTGTTCTATGCCTGCGGTGCTTGCTTCAGCCTATATAGCACTTTCTTCAATTTCAACACCTTCTTCTCTTCTCCAATCCTCATATACCCAAGTGGTTGTTCGACATAGACTTCTTCTTCGAGTACACCATTCAAAAATGCTGTCTTGACATCCATTTGAAATATTGGCCATTTGAATTGAGCAACTTGAGAAATGAGCAATCGAATTGTCTCCATTCTTGCAATAGGTGCAAACACTTCGTCATAGTCAATTCCTGCTTTCCGTTTGTATCCCTTCACAACAATTCACGCTATGTATCGTTCAATTTCTCTTCGAGCATTCATCTTTTTCTTGAATACCCATTTTACACCAATGGGTCGACTACCTTTTGGCAATTCAACTAGCTCTCAAGTGTTGTTGTCGTCTATTGCTCTTATCTCTTCGTCCATGGCACTTTTCCACTTCTTGTCTCGTAACACTTCTTCGAAACTGATGTTTTCAGCATCTTCCAGAAGGCACACAAGGTGTACCTCATTTGTCGAATCATATAAATCTTGCAAACTTCGCATTCTGGGTTGTAGGGGTTCATCTTCATTTTCAGTATCTTCATGTTCTGTTGAAATGCTTATTGGTACATCGACAGATGATTCTTCGACTGCGTCGATAACTTCTGTCGAATTGTTCCATTCCCACTTGCTCGATTCGTTTATTTAAACGTCTATACTTACGATCACTTTCTTGCTTATGAGATCGAATAGCTTGTACCCTTTTGTCTTCTTATCATATCTAATGAATATATATTTTTGACTTTTGTCTTCAAGTTTTGTTCTCTGTTGATCTGGTACATGTGCGTAAGATACATTACCAAATACTTTGAGATGAGAAACTATTGGCTTCTATCTGCTCCATGCTTCTTGTGGTGTTTGATCTTCTAACTTCGAATATGGACATCGATTTTGAACATAAACAACACATTGTACAACTTCTGCCCACAATTCTTTCGACATGTTCTTGCTCTTAAGTATTGATCGAATCATGTCAAGAACAGTTCGATTATTTCTTTCAGTCACACCATTTTCTGAGGTGAATATGGTGCAGTTAGGAATCTCCTTAAGCCATGCTCTTCACAATACTTCATAAAGGTCGTCAGAGTGTACTCACCACCTCTGTCAGATCGAACTGCTTTGATATGTTTGTCGGTTGCCTTCTCCATCATTGAACTTTTTGAACACCTCTAATGCTTCAAACTTTTCTTTCAAGAAATAAACCCAGGTCTTTCGTGAGAAATCCTTGATAAAGAAAATGAAGTACCTTTTTCCACTGAAGGATTCTGAAGTGATTGGCCCACATATATCAGTATGAATCAATTCGAGAATATTTTTAGCTTGATATTCCACCTTCTTTTGAAATGAGGTTCTTGTTTGTTTGCTGAGCACACATTCTTCACAAAACTTTCCTTCATAATCTATGTCTGGTAGTCCATGCACCATGTTCTTTTTCGCCAACCTTCTCAAACCAACATGATGTAGATGACCAAAGCGTAAATGCCATAGTGATGCTTTGTCTTGCATGTCGACTTGTAGACATTTCTCTCGAACGTTCCTCAAATTCAGTTTGTACATTAGATTTCTTTCCATTTTAACACGGGAGATCAGATGTCCTACTTTATCCTTCAAATGCAGTATTCGATCTTTTATAAGTATTGAAAAACCTTTTTCTGTAAGTTATCCCAAACTCAAGATGTTGGTCTTGAGATCTGGTACATAGTAAACATCTTGGATTGATCCAATCAAGCCATCCTTCTGTAAGTAACAAATTGTACCCTTTCCTTCGACCTTCACTTTCGATGCATCTCCAAAAGACACATCACTATCTTCAATTTTTTCATTTCTTTAAACAGGTGTTTGTAACCACACATGTGATTACTTGCTCCTGAGTCAAGATACCAAACATGGTCATTATTGGTGTTGATTTCATTTTGAGCCATCAGGAGAAAACCTTCATTCGCTTTAGCTTCCAAGGTTAGATTGGTTGTTTCTTCTACCTTATTTTCGATTCGACAATATTTTGCAAGATGTCCCACTTTATCACAGTTATAGCATTTGTAGGAATTGCAATCCTTCACGTAATGACCATACTTTCCATACTTGTAACATTCGAAGTTGGAGTGGTTCGACCGACCACCTCTTTGACCACGTCCTCTGCCACGCCAATTTTGTTGCTACCTCGACCACTGTCACGACCTCCACGACCACGTCCTCTTCCTCGAAAATTTTGAGAAAAGAGTACCTTTTCGTCTTTGATCGACTCCTTGATTTGATTTGCTTCCTCGACTGCTTCTTCCTTCTTTTTCATCTTACGTTGTTCATGTGCTTCGAGAGAACCAGCGAGCTCTTCGACTGAGAGCGTCTAAAGGCCCTTCGACTCTTATATTGCACAAATGATACTCTCAAATTTATCTGGTAAAGATCTCAAAATATTTTCAACAACTCGTGTATCAGTTACTATTTCGCCATTTTTGGTGAGTTGGTTCACCACCTTTTGTACACGTGTGATGTAGTCAGATATATTTTCTGTCTCCTTCATCTGCATCCTCTCAAATTCTCCACGAAAAGTTTGCAGTCGAACTTGCTTCACTCGGTCTGCTCCTTTGAACACTTTCTCTAACGTGTCTCGTGCTTCTTTTGACGTAGTCGAACCGACAATATTTTCGAAGCCTGATTCATCAACAACCCTTAACAACATATATAATATCGTTTTATCCTTCTATCGCGTCTCTTTCAACGCCTTAGTTTGAGCTTTTGTATGTTCTACAACCTCTGTTGGTTCTTCAAACTCATTGTTGGTCACCTCCCACGCGTCTAGAGATCCAAGAAGAGCTTTCATTTGGATACTCCAGTTTTCATAATTTGACTTCGTTAGCCGTGACAACGACATTTGATTCATCATGTTTGCCATTAGCTCTGATACCAATTTGTTGGAAAGGAAGCAAAGACTTTTATAACTTGTTCTTAAATAGAATACAATCTTGGTCTTTATATAGACTCAAAGACTTCTATTATTCTAAGAAAGTAAAATATATTAGTAAATACTATTATAACCCACTATCTTTTGACCTTCCAATAACAATAGACTTTTAACCTTCCCACTAACTTATTAATAGAAATCCACCATTTATAACATTAAAGTTTACTCAAGATAAACAAATTTTCAAAAGAAAATTACTTTTGAAACTCTTATAACTATGATGAATAATAAATTGATGCATTAAGGAGACACAATTGTCAAAATATAAAAATAGCATAAAGAAAACGGTGTTGTCATTCATGGATCACAAAAGATAGTAGTTTGTTAGAATTCAGATATGCTACAATGTTATAGCGGCACTATAGCTACAATGATATAGAACTGTTATAACTGCTATTTGACAAATAGTGTTGTAACACTATTAAGCACATACACCGGCATAATTCAGCATCACGAGCATATTCCCTGGCAGCTTGTATACGATTTATAAGAATAAGAAAGCAAAAGATTTAGCTCAACAATCGATGCATGTGTGTGAATGTGGCGTATCAGAAAAGAGCGTAAGATTATATATTGATCGCACAATCTTCTTGGATGCTGCAAAACACAATATTCTGAGACATTTGGATGCTGCAAAAACACAACATATGACATTTATATTCTATACTTAGGAAGACCATACAATACAAGTATCGATGTCACTTTGCACAAAATCCAAACCAACATTTTAAGGGTAACATGATTAGTCCCTTCCAAAAAAGAGGTTTCCATTCTAAGCTTTAAAAATAAATAGTTTTGTTAGTATTTTTAAAGCATAAAAATTAGCACTTTATTTACCATTTAAAAAAAAAGTAATAATAAAAAACCTTAGAGTACTTCAAAGCATCTTCTTCTTTGTATGCTTCAAACAATATTGTTACCCTGTAACACTGAGACAGTTAAAACATCTAAGGAGGCTATAGTAGAGAGGAAGAGAACAAAAAATATACGGAAAGAAAACCTAATTTTCATCAAACAAAAAACATTTCTAATATGAAGAAACCATCCTCTTCACCTTTTTACAAACCCCTGCTTTTTTCTCCGACATCGACAACTACACACCATAGCCACCACCATTATCAGAACCACGACCTTCTCCCATATCTGATCAGCATAGTAGCTGCGCCATCACCGCCTCGACGGAGATGGGAGCAAGAGAGATCGAGAAAGAGAGACACAGAAAAAGGACGAGAAAGAGATTTACGGCTGAATATGGAGAGAGAAGGAGGAAATAAGAGGAAGAAGAGAGCGAATGAGGAAGAGAAAAAGTGAGAAGAAAAATGAGAGATGAACGTGAGAGAGAAAAAGAAAATGAATATGAGAGAAAAGATATGGAAAAGTATGTTGTGTTCTTTCTAATAAAATTGAAATTGAATCTAATGACGTTATCAAACCATTTCAACCTAATTATTAAAGACAAATAAATACAACCGTGTACTTATAAGAAATGTATGACATCATTAGTTAGAAAAACTATTTTTTGGACACAAATTATCTTTAGTTTGGTGAGGTGGAAGATGCAAAGGCAATGGTAGAAAAAGATTTTCTAGAGTCTCAATTTTTCTTATATAATAGATATAGATTAAATAAAAATGAAAAGTATTATCATATTTATTAAAATGATCAAATATTTAGTTTAATTATTGATTTTTGTGATGGAAAAAATTTGCATTTTGAAAAAATTATAATTTATGCGGGGCGGTGGTGGGGTTAGTAATGCTTAACCCCGCCCCTCCGTGCCTCCTTTCCATACCTATTGGAAAGGAGCAGATCATATAATCATTGCAAATCCTATCTGATGAGGAATGGGCCTCTACAACCTAGTTCAAAGCAATATCAAGCCCACATCCATGATCATTTAGTAAGAAGACGAACATGTTGGGTCAGAATAAACGAAGGGGTTTTCAAAGTAATCACTGTTCACGTAAGTACACTATGATGTCATCAATGGATCTATGATTCACCCATTATCATAGTATTTTACCATATTGTCCATTATACACATGTCGGCGGACATCGCCACGCACACATATACAATTGAAGAATCCAAGAAAGAAAGAACAATCCAATGCTTAAATTTGCATTAAGGTCATAATGGCCATTATGATCGCCATGTCACACTTCATCAAAGGCCATTATCCCTTGAAGATAGGGCCCATGTGACAGTAAGAAAGAAGACCAAAAGATTAGAACAAGTTTTACCACATAGTGACAGTAGCCACGACAATGGTGACTATGAATTTTGACCGAACTCCAAATTAATTCTTCAAGAAAAATATTCACGCATAATCATATGGCATCCAAGGCGCGTGTTAAAGCTCATCAAATGCTATAATTACCTCAATTTTTCATAAATATCCCACCAGTTTGAATAAGCCTATACACAAATTCATGCCCTGACTCCACCAATCCATATTTAGGGACTACTGTTCTAGTTTGGGCCAAGCAATAAGCCAATAGGAATATGGGTTATCCGAAGCCAACTAATAAACACAACTTAAAAAATTCACTCTACCTAGATGCACATTAGATTCAAGACGACATAACCATCATGGACCATTAAATATTAAGACCATACAATCTACTTACATTTTTATTTGAGACAAGTGTCCCAAAAAGAATGTTGTACAGTCTCTAATTCTAGAAACCTACTATAAAATAAAAAATAATTAGGGTTTTAACTGGGAAAGGACAATTTCTGATTTTTTGACCTAGAAAATGATCAATGGGTTTAAGTCATGATCTAAAGAGTCCAATTGTATCATTTGACCTAATGATATGGCTCAAAACATTGCTCAAGTCCAATGGATTGACAAATGTATTTTCAGTCAACTGATCAAACTTTGACTTTTTGGTCAAAATAAAATGTCAAAGATCACAATTCATCAAAGCATGTAAAAATATGAAACTTATTCATCAAGAAATCAAAAATTCAAGATTTCATTTTGAAAAGTTAAAATTTCTAAACTTAGAAATTTTTCTAAATGTTGGAAATTTCTTATTTTTTCACAACTTTGAGCAAAAATTTCACCATGATTCAAGATGATTCAAAAGAAACTTTCAACATGAAATTTGTAGATCTCCATGAAATATAAAACATTGATTTACACAACTCCTTCCAAAAGTGCTTGGATCTCAAGTTATAATTTTAAGAACACATGGTCATGAAACAAAACACTTAGTGAAATTTTGCCCTAATTTGGTCAGGATTTTGACCTAACTTCATGGTACTTTTTCATATAGTTCCAAGTGGAATTTTTAAAAGTGATTCAAAGAAGGGTTGTAAATCATATTACAAGCTTTCCAAAATGTCCAAGAACTCCTTGAGATCAGTTTTGTGTAGGGAGAATCGAAGAGATGAAGTTAGGGTTTTCACACTTGAATTACAAGTCATTTTGTGATGAACAAGATTCAAAATTCAAACTTATGCTGCATAAACACTACTTTGCAGGACTCAAACTTGTTAGTCACTCCATAATTAATTGCTTGCACAGTTGTTAGAGGTTTCAATTCAAGCATTCAATGCAAGGCCATGCTTTATATCCATTTTGGGAAGAAAGTGCATAATGCCATTTTGATAAAGTGGCTTTTTGCATAAAACTTGTTCTTGCACCTTGCACTTGTTCTTTTCTGATCATACATGTATTATAACTCAAGAGAAGCTTGTATAGACACTTACAATCACTCAGCCCATGCTTGTACTTCCTCTTGAAACTTGTTTTCCCACTTTTCTTGAAAATCAAGTAACATAACAATTAGCTTGTAACTTGTACTTCCGACTCTGCAAAGCACTCAATACCTTTTTCTTATACATACACAAGTCATTTTACACAAATCACATTCATGCTTAAGCCATGAAAACACCAAGAACACAGAGTCACCAAAAACACCTCAAAACTTGCCATTTCTGAGTTTTGAATCCAATCTCCAAATTTGCGCGTGCGTTTCTTGGCCTTTTACTTTCAAAAGATTCTAAATAACATACACAAACAATTCCAACATCTGCAACACCACTGTAACACCTCCACCATCATCCACCATTTTCAAAAACAGCACCTTGCACCTTTACATCTCCAGAACTCCTCAGGCACTTTCAGCTCAAGCTAAGCATCACATTAGCTTCCTGGGAACTTGAGGAAGCTAATCCAATCATTGGAACTCACTAAAAGCTACTCAAACTCAAAACACGATACCCTCTTGCAAGGTAAGTTACCTCAACTTTGAACTTTTCATACAAGTATCATTAATGGTTTATTTGTGAATGAAAAATGTAGATATCATTGCCCTGAAGCTAACCATGTCCATAGTTTTCATTTATATTGCTCAAGCTTTGAGAATTTTAAGATTGGAGTTTCTGAAATTTTTAGGGTTCAGATTAGGGCCATTAAAATTCATGCTTGTCTTTGATCTATAATTTTATTGCTTTGCATTTTTGAAATCGTGAGGAAATTTGCTACAAGATTCATGTTTTCATTTTTGCAAATGGATGAGAGATGAACAAGATGCAGGTACTCTGGCTAGGTGTGAGGTTGAAGATGAAGTTCAGGCTATGGACTTGATTTTTATCATATATTTGTTGTTTTGATTATATAAACGGATGTATAGCCACCCCAGTGGTAGAAGCGTGCGCCTGTGACTATAGGGACCTAGGTTCGAGCTCCAGTGGTGCCCTTTTGGATTTTTTTCCTCATTTTTTTCACATATTCTGACTTTTTTGGCAGCGCTGGGCTTCATCCCCTTGGGCTTTGTTTTTTTTCTTACTGCTGACCTCCCTTGCTGGCTATTCACAACCTGGCCCATTTTATTTCTTTTTTTTCTCAAATTTTATTTATTTGTTTTCATATTTTATCTAATACTAAAAAGTCAAAAAAAATATAAAAACATTAGATTTATATTTTGATATAGTTTATTTATTTTTTACACAAAGAAATTATTTTATTTAATCATACTTTACTTATTTTACTAATTGATTTGTAAATTTAATTAGAAATTAGGTTTTTTTAGTTATTTTCTTTTACACAATTTAAATATATTATTTTAATATATAAAAAGACCAAAAAATATTTTATAATACTATAATTTATTTTTAAGACAAAAATACCAAAAAATATTCTTCTTATAACTTAATTTCTTTTTTAATCAATTAATAGATTATGGTTTTATTTGAATTCTTTTCCTAGTAAATTTAGGTTTTACTTTTTACTATTTTATTTAATTATTTTTCTTTTAGTTAATTAGGTTAAAACAAAACCCCTTTTTCCTAAAAAAATCAAATAAGATTCCATTTTCTTTCCATTTTACATTCTTGTATATTGTGATCGGTGGATCTGGAACTGACTGTTTAACGCTGGTTCGCGAAATGTCGCGGAAGCAAGAGTCGCCACCGTCTTTTATTTTCTCCAAATGGAAAGGACAAAAGCACAGAAAAATTCCTTAAAGAGATTGCTCTCGGTTCGGGAGGTAGATTATAGAAAGGGAAGGTGTTAGCACCCTTTCTATCCATGGTTATCCATGGGCTCTTAGATACTTGCTCATTTGTGTTTTCAAAATTGGTTTGTTTGCTTTTCAACTGTGGGTTTTAAAAAGTTCTTTGAAAATTCCAGTTCGACTCTTGTATCGGTCCTCAAGAGTGTTTGAAAAATTGCTTTCGAAAGCTTTTTGAAAAGGTGTCGGTGTGAAAAGTATTTTTTGATTTGTTTTTGAAATTAGAGCAAGTATCTAGAGTCGTCTACCTACCCTAAGGAATTCGTCTGTGTAAATATCCTTTAAAGTAGTGCCATCCCACCATTGAGAGGTAGGTAGCACCACCGTTGGAGGTGTTCGGGTCAATTCGAGGTTCGGGACATGGTGATCACCAGAGCAATGGGAAGACACCTTAGAAGCTACCCTCATGCCAGGTTCCCGGATCATGAGGACTTACTAAGACATCCTCTACTCGACGATCACCTTTCGAGGCAAGGCAACAGTGAGGCGTACCCTAGGGGTGGTGTGTGATTTGTGTGTCGTTTTCAAGTATTTTTGTCTTTTGTCATGTATTGGTGATCTAACGTTTGTTTTTTATTTTTGTCCATACATTC